ATTTCTTCCAGAGGTCTATTGAATAATATACATACACCAAAATCAATTTGATTGGGGGGCACTTTACTACACTTATTCGGCTATAAATATCATATACAAAACAACTGAAAGCACAGTATTGTGTATTTACTATACTTAATATCAATGTTGAATGATTTAAATTAATTGGTTGCTGTAATAATTGCTTATACATGTTGTACAATCATTTTTATCATACCATTTGTACATAAAATGTTCCTTTTCATGTTCATATTTTTCAATATTCATTCAATTAATGTTTTTAAATGATGACATGAATTATTTTCCTTTACAAGCATATAAATGCTCTTTCATATACAACTTAAGAGTTCTAAATTATTATATTTTTACTACCAAAAATCTCATTAGTCTTTTTATACAAGGAGTAGTAAATATTTTCACTATGTTAACTGTAGATGTATTAAATGAGCTTAGAAAGAAAATATGCATTATAAATTGAGTGCCTTATTATTCATTAGATATTCTATTACATTATTTCTTTCAAAAAGTAAGTCAAAAATTGATGATCATTGTCTTTTTAATAAACATATGTATGTACATTTCTTAAAACACTATGATATTACTTTTTAGTACTAAAATATATAATACATATTTTTAATTACTAGTAAAATACTTACTTTAAGAAGACCTCTAAATAAAAAATAGAAACAATTGAAAAGAAACATTAAACAAGAAATCTAAATAAAAGCTTCAGCAAAATCTAGTAGAAATTTATACAAACAACTAAAACATATTTGACAAAAACTTATTAAACTTATAAGCCTTATTCATCTTATGTTATTTTGAGTATAAGATTTCATATTTCATAAATTAACATGTTCACAGTCCATTGACCCACATATAGGTCAGGAGACTCCAAAATCAGACATATACTTTTGATATTTAAATTATGAACAGTATAATTACTTTAATAAAAGTGATGAACAGGCTACAAATAAGCATGGTAACAACATGTATTGCTTTCTTGGACTTATGTGAACATGTTAAGTACAACATAGAATATAATGTTCATATTGTAGTTACACCATTAGTAAAAAGTTAGTAATAGCTTATAATGAAATCTTCAAAATAATTTACATACCATAACTTTCATTAGGTCGCAAATATAACACACATTTTTTCTTCATTTCTAGCCAAAGCGGATACGCAGACGTGGAGTAAGACATGTCTTTAGTTGTTCAAAAACAAAAAGGAGACATTATATTACAAATATTTGTTCTAAAATTTTGCAAAAACAATTTAATCACATATTACATATGTAAAAGAAACCTATGTGCAAAATATGATTTTACTGG